TATGTTGATTCACTTTAGGGTGTTTGGATGTATTGGTCATGTTCATATTCCAGATTAGCAAAGAAGAAAGTTGGATAATAAGAGCTTTACATGTATCTTCTTGGGGGTCTCTACTGAGTCCAAAGCCTACAAGTTGTACAATCCAAGTACCAAGAAGATAGTGGTTAACTGAGATGTTAAATTTGATGAGAATCAAGGCTGGACTTGGAATCCTGAGGTGCAGCCAGTGTTATCAAGATCTTTTGGGAGTGTAGTGAAGAAACTTGGTATGATTCTGATGTTGAAGATCAAGAGGAAGGGGAGGCAGTAGCTGTTGCACCTAAGCCTGAAGAACCAAACAATCCAAAAACCCCAATAGAGCCAAGAACTACAGAAGATGGGAAGGACAATGATGAGGAAGGTGATACTGATGTGTTGGGACTTCCTCCAAGTACTGAGTGGCTATAACCTGAGTTACATGACAGACACAGAATGGTGTGCCATGATAGCCATGTCAGATGATCCTCTCACCTATGAAGAGGCTACCACTGATGAAGAATGGAATGCAACAATGAGATTAGAAATGGTTTCTATCAAGAAAAATGACACCTAGGTGCTCACTGACTTACCTATTGGAGCAAAAGTGATTGGCCTCAAATGGGTTTACAAAAGCAAACTCAGAGAGGATGATACAATAGATAAAAAGAAAGCAAGGGTAGTGGCTAAGGGGTACTCTCAACAGCATGGGATAGATTACACTGAAGTATTTGCCCCAGCGGCTCGATGGGATACAATCAGAACTTTCCTTGCTCTTAGGGATGACAAAAATATCCATAACAGTGGATATCCACCCGAATCCGACCTAATCGGATAGGGTAAAACCCGAACCCGAAGCATTTTTCGTGGGTACGGGTAAAACTCGAACCCGAATATTGCGGGTAATGGGTGAGCATGGTTTTCTCACTATCCAACCCGAACCCGCCCGATTATACACATGCATATGTATTTTGTCTAGAAATAATCATTATTTTTCTCTAGAATATTTTATATTTAGCATATAAATATAATATTTTCATGAAATTATGTTGTTTTAATTAATTTTCTTCATTCTAGTGAATTATTGTCGTACTTTTCCTCTTACGTAATGTGAGTATACGTGTGAATGTTAACATATTGGTTGGAATATAAAGAGAAATTATTACCCATGGATAACGGTGGATACCCGAAACCCGAATGGGTATGGGCATGGTTTTTATTTTCTACCTGTTTCTCGTGTGGGCATGGGTATGGGTAAAACCCGAATTACATTGGGTAGGGTAATGGATATGCACTATCCGCCCCCGACCAAACCCATTGCCATCCCTACTTGCTCTTGATGCTGCTCATGGCTGGACAGTTTATCAACTTGATGTAAAGAGTGCTTTTCTCCATGGCACTCTCACCGAGGAGGTTTATGTAGAGCAACCACAAGGGTTTGTAGTTTGTGGGGAGGAAAGCAAAGTGTACAGATTGAAGAAAGCACTATTATGGCTTGAAACAAGCTCATATAGCATGATACAGTAGGATAGAAGGGTATTTTTTTGTTGTTGGATTTGAGAAATGCCCCTATGAACACACCCTATTCGTGAAACGAGCTGGTTCAAGCATTCTAGTGGTGAGTTTGTATGTTGATAATATGATGTATGCAGGCAATGATCCAGGCCAGTAGGGATGGCAATGGGGCGGGTTTGGGGCGGGTTTGCCTAAACCATCCCCATCCCCGCTTTCAAATATCTATACTCATACCCGCCCCATACCCATGCGGGGGAAGGTTTTGCAAAACCATCCCATACCCATGGGTTTCGGGTACCCATGGGTAATACCCGCCCCGTACATCCACCATTATAATACGGAATATTTTACATGTATACTTTCAATTATAACATTAAACGCACCTACTATATCATGAAGTTTACAAAGAGACAATCATTTTTAATACGGTTCAAAGCATCTTATCCTAAAGCATCCATTAATCCATATCATAGTAGAGTACAATGTCATTCAAATCATTATTCTCTACTGTGATACATCTATTAAGTAATAATTAACTAACATAATCTTGTTACAAGGGGAAAAAGTGAAAGAGTGAAGGGAAAATTGAGACAAATAAATTAGATTTTGATTTGGGTGGTCACTTAATTGCATTTCTACTATATATTTTTATTGAGTTATACTCACTATTATTGATAGGTTACAAATCGATTCACATATTTTTCATATGTGAAGAAATATTTTTGGTGGGGCGGGTATGGGTATGGGTATGGGGCGGGGGAGGCGAAAACCATACCCGCCCCATACCCATCAAACTTTTTACGGGTTTTACCCATACCCGCCCCATACCCGGTCAATGCGGGGATTCCCCGCGTTGACTGGGTCGGGGGCGGTCGGATACCCGTGGGCATGGGTTTGATTGCCATCCCTACAGGCCAGCAAGCAGCCAGCAGCGAAGCCAAACGCGCCGCGCTCTAACTCGCAGCGGCTGTGTTCTTCGAATCCAACCGAGAGGCGGTAAAGCTTGGTGTGAAAAACCGTTCTCACCGGCTTATCTTATTGATTCTAACTTGGATTTCAATTTTTTCATAGATGAAACGAGTTGGTTGTGCTTTACAAAATGATATCCATTTTTAATATTTTTTGAGAATTTTTTTTTCATACCTCTTATTAACAATTTCATATCATATGGCATCTCCTTCGTTTTTAAGACATTTTCGAAAAATATTACACAGAAATAACAAGTTAATCACGATCTATTGGATCTAAAAATTTCTGGGTGAAAAAAATACAAGACCAAAAAATACCATACTATACCACCTTGATATCTTGTGGTACACAATGTTGATAATCATATATATATCAGTTAGTATGCTCCTACTATCATGTATTTAACCATCTTATAGTCTTGGCATGTTCATACCACCAATCCACCATGGTACGCTTTCATGCCATATGATATGTTCTTATTTTAATATCAAATTATCAATCAATACCACCATGGTATAGACAAGTAAAAAATATCTCAATTTTTTTGTTATAAAATATATCAAAGTGGATATCATTTTGAAGAGCACAATTAGTCCGATTTATCTGTGAAAAAAATTTAAATTTTGACTTAAAACGAGAGAGAATACGTTCGTTAAATATTACAAGAGAAAAGATTACAGGCTTTCCAGGAGAGAGAGGGTGTGTTGATGTGGCGGCTGATGATTGAGTTATGCATAATTAATCACACATGGGTTACTGACCGGATTCGGTTCCGTTATGACTAGTGCCATACTATTTTGATCAATCGGTACTTTTTCGTTTTTAATCCTCGACCGTCAAGATCAAGAAGGATAAATCAGTTAACGTGGCTACAACAAGGGGAACACATAAGCCAATTTGAGCCGAGTTTTAACCTACGTTAAGCTCAGCTTGTTAATAAAGGAGTCGAGCTCGACCTCGGTTTGTTTACAAAATCTTAACTTGTGTTAACTCGAGCTCGATTCAAGCTTGGCTTGTTGATGAGCTCACGAGCTCTACTTGAGTTATGCTCATCAATCAGCTCGAGAGAGCAGCTCGAATTCGGGGATTATATCATTTAGTTCAAAAATTTTAAATATTCATATCTTTTTAGTCAATAATAATTAGTATCTAAACAATCTATGATACATTATGTCTCTTTATTAGTAGATATATTAATCAAGTATCAAGTAGGCAGGGTCTGGTGGAATACATGTAGGTTCACCGTAAGCCCCCTACACCCTCTTTAGTTTTTTCCATCGCGAGATCCCATCCTTCTTCCCCAGACACTTCTTTCTCATCATAGCCTTGCCAATTACTAGGGGTGGAGCTTCGGTTAGTTCGGTTATAACCGGTAATCAATCGGTCGGTTATCGGTTAACCGAACTGACGGCCCCCTTACTGATAACCGACCGAAATAGGGATTTAGACTTCCTTTATCTCGATTTTCGGTTAACCGAACAATCTCCAAGATCAAAACCACCTCGGCCAACCTCCAAACACCGATCGAAATTTGGTTATCGGTTAGTGAATAACCGGCCGGTTAACCGGTAACCGAAACTCCACCCCTACCAATTACCATTCTGATTTTCCTCAGTCGACCTACTGGCGATTGGCCAAGTAAATCAAGTTGGCCTGATTGAACTAACGCTAGGCAAGCATCAATCGCACGCATGTACCCATTGATCCTCCTCCTTCCAGGCAAGATCGATTGCCCATTTTTTCAGCTCCTTCCTTCTCCGCGTCTGTTTCCCGTCCATCCTCCCTTATTTTTCTAGCGATTACCCACCACGATTTTTCTGTTTAGCCCGACTGTTTCTTTCCCTTCGTCGATCTACCTGGCGGCTAGCCAAGTCTCGGTCTCCCTTTTCCCTTCTTTCCCTCCAAAAACACTCATCAGTGGACTGATAGGTAAGTTTGAGAAGGTGCTTGACGTCCGGTGAATGAGAGACTCACTCTTGCCAGGGATGCTTAGGATGCAGTGGTGGAGCCACGTTATTGGTAAGAGGGGCTATAGCTGCACTTAACTCTCCAAATTGTATTATTTGTACATATAAATTTTGTAACACATTTCGAAAAAATAGAGTAAATTTTTTCTGTATCGGCTAAATTACATTTATAATACCTTTATTAGAGACTGTCTTTATGGCAGAATTCAAACGAAAGCAATTGCCACTGAAATAGGCTCTTCGGTAACTCATAGGCTGGGTAAGAGAACTCGCCTGGAAAGACACTCAGTTCAAATCTCTTAAACATAAATTTAGGGTAAATTGCAAGTTTGATCACTGAATTTACTAAAAAAGCTCACGTTTAGTCACTAAAAATATTTAATTCCATTCGTAGTCACTAACATTAATTCAATAGTTCAAGTTTGGTCACTCTCCGTTAGTCTCCGTTAATTTTAGCTTATGTGGCAGTCAACTGTCATAGTTGACCGTTAAATATGTGACGTGGCAAATAAAAAATAATTTATTTTTTATTTTCCAGCTCATTACAATTACTAAAAATAAAAAAAATCATTATTTTACCCCTCATATATCCTACCACCGCCGCTTCTTCCTCTTCTTCTCCCTTTTCCAGCTACCCAAACGCCGACTAAACAGCCCACCAGAAAATCCCGCAGGGATCACCATTTCATGCATCGTCTCGCCCACTTCTCGTCTTTTTATGCTTCCGCAGTTCCGCGAGATCAATTGGGTAAGAATTGATGGGAAACCGAAATGGAGAGTTTGGTAGTGGCGAAGCAGAGGACCAAGGGTTTGGTGGTCTAGAAAAATGGATCCTCGTCGGCGGCGGCGGTGGGGATTTCCATTGCGTCCACTTCGTGGTTTGCTACTACGACGAAAATGCAGCGGATGATAGAGTTCCACCTGGCGAGGAAGCACTACAACGGATCGGGGACGTGTCTGGATTCCGCAATCGCCTTGCCCCGTCGCCACTTCATCGCGCTACAAAAGACGTTGTCGTTGTCCACGGTGCACAGATCCAACCGAATCGGTCGATTGCCAAATCCAACAAGAACAAGCTCGATGGATGGAAGGATTTCTTCATCAGGTTGATCCCATACCCACCAATCAAACCTCAAAACAAAAATAAAAAAGAGGAAATTAGATCTGAAATCGCCGACAATTCATCATTAAATCCATTCTGCATATCGTCCGGATCTTCTACCTCATTGTCTTTTTTTTTACAATAGCTACCTTATTGCCACGGTTTCTAGCTTTGTGAAGAACTGGAGTAAGATTTGACAGTAGCGTTGTCTTCGGCGGTAGAGGAAGAAGAGGCTTTCCCTTTCTGAACGCTGAAAACCCATCAATCGTCTTCTATATGAAGATCGGCGGCAGAGGAGTTGGGGAACCATCAATTGGAAGAATGATTAAGATGGGTTTCAATAATTTTTTTTTGTATTTTATGATAGGAAATTAAAAGAATTAACATTTTTAATATTTATAATGCAGTGGAAAATAAAAAATTTTGTTTTTTATTTTTTTGACTACCACGTCATATATTTAACGGTCAACTATGAACGTTGACTGCCACGTCAGCTAAAATTAACGGAGAATAACGGAGAGTGACCAAACTTGAACTATTGAATTAATGTTAGTGACTACGAATAGAATTAAATATTTTTAGTGACCAAACGTGAGCTTTTTAGTAAACACAATGACCAAACTTGCAATTTACCCCATAAATTTACATCTCTTTTTTCAGATTTCTCTCTCCACAACTGCGAGAATGATGTAGTTACTATTAAGATCGTGAAGAGCTAGTGGGTCTCTACTTGACATTTGCTCATCATTTTCCACAATAATGAGCTTCAAAATGGACAAAGAAAAAGACCCACACCCATTATCCAAAACTTTGGCATATTTGTCCAAGCACTGGATATCATCATCCTCTTCCATCACAAGAATAAGATTCGTCGAGCTGGAAGCGACGACGACGATGGCGAACAATAATTCACAGTGAGTGGGACTGCGCCTGACTGACCGAGTTAACCGACAGGCGACAAGGCCAAGTTTATAGTGGCCGCCGTGGCCAAGAATGAGACCTCCTTCCCTTCCCCATGTGCCTTGGCCGACAGCGACTACACAACATAAAACAAATTTCCCCACCCAAATTCTGAAAGATCTACGTCCACTTCTCTTCTCTTCTCCACACAACAGATAGGAAGGAAACAAAGCACAAATGGAATGGAAAAGATGGACCAGAAGTTGGCTAGAATTGGGTTTTGTACTATGTACAGCAATCGAACAAAAGCCTCATTCATTATGTGTTTCTCAAAGATGAAATCTTCCCCGTCATTCCAGCAGCTCTTGTTCGAATGTATTACGCGTCCTTAGAGGGTCCAGCAACTGCTTGTCCAGTGTCCAAAGCATCGACACACATTCTGCCCGATCGAAGAAACGATTCTATTAGCGACGGTTAGTCGCGCAAGAACAAATTCATCAACTAGTGTTACTTGTTTCATAGATACCTTGATTGCGAACGAGGTTCTGCAGCGACGAAGGAGATTGTTCGTCCGTGTGTTGTGACAGTAGTATGGAGTGTGCTAGAGGTATCAACTTTCGGTCGCCGAATGAATGCAACATTTGGTTCATCCAAGATACAGTGAACAGGCTGGTTCGTGCTAGTTTGGGAACTCCATTCGCTATCGCGCCCGAGAGCGCCATCAAGAATGTCTGCCCTCCACTGTTTAGCAGCACTGTTACCAGTTTCCTCTGCCATTCGATCGTTGCTTCCTCTTCCTCGTTCTGGTATTGAGGGGGGAGAAAACTTTCAATAGGCTCAAAATTGGGAACATTTGTGCTTTTTACAATGATCCAAAATTCAAAAAATTTACTCACCAAGTCACTACCATGAATGGAATCGTCCAATCTCCCTCGAAACAGCCATTCCTCCGTCGATGTTGTCGTGGACTCTCCGTCGTGAGAGAAGCTCCCTCCCATCATCAACAGAGCTCTTGCCGTTTGTTCTTGTGCCTCGGAATCACATCTCTCGCAATCCAGACATTCTATCAGTGCTTCAATTGCTTCTTCTCTGTAAACACTGTGCTTCATAGGATCTCCCTCCTGTGAAACATCATCACTTGGTGTTACAAAATTTTCTAAACGATCTTGCAACCTAAGAGGAAACCAGAACTAACCAGAAGATCAAGCTGCAAAAGTACTGCAGCAACCAATGGTCGATCCACTGCAGAAGCTCGCTGTAGATAGCTGAGAAAGATGTGCATTGCGTTCAACCCATCATCAAACCCATGATTGATTTGAATCAATAGCCTAATGATCTCACTTCTTCTGCAATCAAAACACGGAAAATAAATCAAACTAATCTAGTAGTAAGAATTTGGGGAAACCCTAATCTCATCCATTCAGAAAATAAATTACCTGCTGAGGCAGAGCAACTCTGTCAACAACCCAAACGCAAATCCTCTGTTCCCCTGTTGCTTCCTAACCCCAAGAGCAATCAGCTGAAGAAGAAAAATTTTACTCAAATTCTCAGCTAAGTAATCCCTACAACTCCCAACGGCTTTCACGCAGCTATACATCAGCATCGCAATCCCTTCCCTCTCCTTAACACCGCCGATCTCGAATCTTCGAACCAGCAAGCTCAACCCGCCAAGCGACACAACTTCGCTAGAGTTCTCCAAGTTCTTGTCTTCGTCGAAGCCCCTCATCAGCTGTTCCAAGAAGTACAGCGCCGCCTCGTGTGGATAACACAAGACGGTGAAAAGCACCTGCAATTGATCGCCGAACTCCAAAACTCTGAGCGCCAGAGCAACCCATTCCGTGGAAATCATTTGCTTCGCCAGGGGTTTCAGCTGGTACAGCAGAGTCGCCGCCTTGAGAAAAAGACTGCTGCTTTTCAGCAGCTTGATGAAGATCTCGAGCTGCGGGTCGTAGTTCAGAATCGTCACCCTGTTTCGATCCTTTCTGGAGGCTAGCTCGGCTAGCAGGGAGATGACCAGCTCGAGAACTTCGTCGTCTTGCGATGCGTAGAGGATCTCGATCATCGATTCGATCACTGGTTGCTTGGACAGAGCGTCGACGATTACTGGGTCGCCGCCGGAATTCAACCACGTCCTTGCGATTTCGTGGATTGCCGCCTCGCAATCGCTCAGTACGTCGGATGTGCATATTTCAACGATCGGTCTTCTCAGTGGGCTTGAACGGAGATGCGAATCGTCTAGAGAATTTCTGCGGGAAGAAAGATTGTTCTTCAGAGCTAAATTTGCATCCGCCGCCGCCACCACACACTCTGCTATCATGCTTCTGCAGGAGAAGAACTTCGAGGATTCTAGTTTTTGCAGGCCATCACTCGCTGACAACGCAATCATCGAGCTACTGTAATCTTGGGTAGTTCTTAATCCCGAGCCCGATTTTGTCTTGCTCTGTAAAAAAATGACAGGAACAGAGTTGTAAGAACAGGGGGAAAAAAGAAAATAAAGTTGCAGTCTTTTGTTAACTAACCACAATGAACTTGCCGTCCTCGTCACTGTCAGCAGCCGGCGATACTTCCTTCTCCTCGCCCTTCAATTGGTGGGGAGGCGTTCGGCCAAATACGTACTCAAATCTTCCTTCCGAGAAATTTTTTGATTAATACCCAGACAAGAGCAATAAATAAATAAAAAATTAAGCAGGGGAATTGTAAAAAATTCGACTCACAAGCTACGATTGATAGAGAGCTGAGAATCGGAAGAATCCATGGAACTTCGCCTTCTGGGTTTCGATGCCGGCAGAGGAACATCAGGAACCGAAGGCGACTTCACCCCAATTTTGAGCCAATCTTTATAATACAGAGCAAACTGACGCGTCCCGAAATCCATAGAATGGTTATAAACTCTACACAACGATTTCAGACATTTCTCAGAGCTCTGTGAACTGGAGACTGATTGGAGCTCCTCGTGATACCACACTCTCAAATGGAGGAGATGGGGGAGAAAGAAATGATCCCAGAGATCGGGAAGCAAATGGGTCCTGGCAAGCAGAGGAGCGTCGCAGAATGACTGAAGCAAGTGAATTGCAGACATCCTGTCGTTCTTCTCAAGCTTGTAAACAATGGAGAGGTACAATTGGGCGCAGGAAGAGAGATGCGAGTTCGGGATCCCAGCCGTCGATTGTTTCCTGAGTTTTTCGGAGTTCAACGAGGAGACGATCGTCAGGAGCTGGATGGAATTGCTTAGCAGTTCCTTCTTCTTTACCATTGCTCTGTTCTGGACCAATTCGTCGACGTTTTGGACGGCGAGCTCCATGTTCGTCAGGATCGGGTCATTGGATTTTCCGACGAGGCAGGAATTGCATTTCTCCCGGACTCTTTGCCGGAAAGCCGCGTCCTTGGTGTACCTTCCAATGTAGCCGCTGAGTATAGAGACGATTGCCTTGACGGCGATTTGATCCATCGCCGGCTCTCCACCGCCGGTGCTGTCAATGCTTGCCTTTCTCGTTCTTGACGAGATATTTTCGCTGGTTCTTTTGGGTTTGACGGATTTCTCGACATGGCAAATGTAGATTGGAGACTTGAAGTTGAAGACAGGGTCATCGACCGTCTTTCTGAAGCTCCCCTGTTTTTGCTTCCTGCTGCTGCTGCTGCGCTTGAATCCTTCTTCGGCGAGCAGTTGCTGTAAAGATGCCATTTTTTTTGTACGGGTTTGAGAATTTCAGACTTGGGTTTGGGATTTCAATTTGACGCCATTGTTCCGAACTTTCAAAGGTGGGGAGAGAAGAGAAGCTAGAAATGAGGTAACACAAGCCAAAAGGAAGGAGGAGAAGAAAGACAGGTGAGCAATGTGGATGGGCGTCTTGGATAGAGGCGGCAAATATCTATATAGGATCCTAGAAACTGGTATGCGAGACAAAATATTTCTTTTGGAATTTATTTGTTTCAGAGTCGTTTCCATTGCCTGGGCAAATGAGGTAACTTTTACAAGTTACAAAGCGAAGAACATTGAAAACGAAGGATTAAGGTATCAGTTAAATGCCTTGTAGCGTCGCTTCTTAACACCTTTGCTTATAAAATTCTTGCTTTCGGTAATCTATTGTATTGGCCATTGTTGGGGGAAAGGATCCTAGCTTTGTGCCACTTGGATGCAAGAACAACAGCTTAATCCATCATCAGCATGGGTTAATCAATTTGAGTGAGTGCCACAAAGGAAATAGCGGATTAAAAGCTATCTCAAGTAGTTAGTTAAGATTGAGATATTGAAAAAAGATTTCAAAACACTATTTGTTAGTGTCCCATAAAAAAAATTTTTTAATAATTAAAAATTGTTTACCAATTGATTAATATTTTAATAGCATTTATATGTATTTTAATAGCATTTATATTGTTTATGTATTTTTCTTTCCTTTCTAATATTCTTTCTCATCAATTCTTTCCTCTCCTTCCCAAGGTTGTCAACCCGGTTTTGCCTGTTGGTTCGGTCAAGCAAGTGAGATGACGGTTAATGGTCGACCGTGTTAGTCCATTTTAACTCGGATACATGGAAAAAATCATTATATGCATTTATAAATTATATCAAATCTCATCTAACATGTGAGTAACATCAATATCAATATTCAGAGGTTCAACTTAAAATTCCAAAGATAGGGTTAAGCAAAGAAAAAAATTGAAAAAGAGACGCATTTCGTAAAAGAAAGTAAAAAACAAAATTGTGTGACCTCCAACCTGGTAACCTTGCAACGGGTCGACCCAACAGGTGTGTGTGACCCGTTTTTCTCAACTGATCAAAGTCAAAACGGGTCACGGGTCAACCCGTTGGTTGACAATCTTTCTCATATCAACTCTCTCTCTCTCTCTCTCTCTCTCTCTGTTTCTTTCATCAATCATCCGGATCTACGCCGTATATCAACAGATTATGGTTTTGAGGGTCATCCATTATGAAAAGACCTTCCTTTGAGTAGATATGTGGAAGTACGCCTTTTTTTTCTCCATTCTCTATCTCTTCCAATCCACCCAACTCTTCCTCCAAAATCCATGTCTAGGAATGGCAAAAGGTTGGGTCAGAGGCAGATAGGTTTTACTCATACTCATAACCATAGTGGATCAATGTCAAACGGGTCACGAGTCAACCAACGAGTCGACCGCTGGTTGACAACCTCTCTCTCTCTCTCTCCATTTTTTCTTTTCTTTCCCCATAAAACTCTTTCCCTCCCCATTCTCTATCTCTTCTCATCCACCCAACTCTTCCTCCAAAACAATCTCTAGAGATGGCAACGGGTCGGGTCAGGGACAGATAGTGCATATTCGTTATCCTACCCAAAGTAGTTCTGGTTTTCCCCTTTTTCATACCCACATCAAATCGTGCTCATACTCATTCGGTTTCGGATATTCACGAATCACGATTATCCATGAGTAATAATTTCTCTTTATAACTTCAACCAACATGTTAATATTTACATGGGTTTCGGATATCCCATGGATACCACATATAAATCGGGTAAAAAAATCAAAATCGTGCTCATACTCATTTGGGTTTCGGATATCTACGGTTATCCATGGGTAATAATTTTCTCTTTATAACTTCAACCAACATATTAACATTTACACATATACTCAAAAGTGGGAAAGTAAGATAGTAAGTCACTATAATGAACAAAATTAATTTCAAAGAACACAATATCATGAAAATATGATATTTATATGCTAAATATAAACTTTGCTAAGAAAATACTCATTTCTATATAAATTACATATCCATGTATATAATCGAGCGAGTTTGGGTTGGATAGTGAGAAAACCATGACCACCCATTACCCGCAATATTTAGATTCGGGTTCGGAAATAAAAGCAATAAAGCTCACCGAAGGTTACTGAAGTCCTCTCTCCAAGTTTGCACACAGTGAATGTTGAACTCCGTCTCCATAAATTACCTATATATATATATATGAGATCATTCACCCTCCCGCCCAACTACATTACCCGTCCCATTGTCGAGGGCACTAGCATGTGAAATCCACTTACCTTCACCATTTTGAATCATCAAAACTGTTTTACCTTTTTTTCCGCGACACTATTTTCATTTACAGTTTTGACTAAATTGTAAAAGAAAAGCATCAACACATGGCGAAAGCTTATTGATTGGTTGGTTTTTGGTCCTTACACGAAGATGCACATTTCTTGATTTGATTATGAAATGTTAAGTGTTGACCTTGATCCGCTGAGAAAAACAGGCCACACACACCCGTTGGGTTGACCCGATGCAAAGTTACCAGGTTGGAGGTCACACGACGTTGTTTTTTACTTTCTTTTACGAAAAGTGTCTCTTTTTGAGTTTTTTCTAATGTCGAGGGCACTAGCATGTGAGATCCACTTGCCTTCACCATTTTGAATCACCAAATTTGTTTTATCATTTTTTCCGCGACACTGTTTTCATTTACCGTTTTGACTAAATTGTAACAAGAAAAGCATCAGACATAGCAAAAGAATGGCCGGTTTTTTACCACATGAATGCACATTTCTTTATTTGATTATGAAATGTTAAGTGTCGATATGGCCGTTCTATTATCTTATATTGTAAACAAATATTATACAAAATAGATGATCACGCGCGGAGCGCGCGCAGCTTACTAGTTATAATAAAAAAAAATGATGTAGGAGGATGTTAAAATAGAAGTAGGATTATCAGTTATCCTGAAAATTAGTAATCGGCGGTTATACGGTTAATTGACTATTACGACATCCTTACAGTTAGGGACCGAAAATAATAAGCATCGATGAGTTGCAAGTTTAGGCCATAAATGTGTGAGTGGGTCGAGCGCGAGACCTACGAGCTTCTTCTCCGCTTGAACTGAAGAATTTTGGTTCCTACAAAAACCCTAATCGACACAGTTGGTGATCGAGTGAAGGAACACAGTTCTGAGGAGGTGTTTCGATTTTGTGCAAGAAATGAATATTGAAAATAATCAACAATAAACACCAGACGAAAATATAATTAGCTAAAGCAACTTTGGGCTTGAAGCCCACTCGTTTGTTCTCTGGTAAGCTGGGCTTAAGCCCTGTCAAAACTTCCTTAGGCCTGTCTACTGCTTCTCTTCTTCAATCGAGTTCACTTCCCTGCTTCGAAGATTTCCCTGTACCTGAACAAGAAAAACAAACACACAAGCAGAGAATACACCACAGCTCGAAATTGAAGAACACAGACACAGTGCCACAGTTTTTACGTGGTATCCGATATTGGGAGAAAAGAATCCCAATATCGACTAATCCACGGTAGGAACCACTCCTCTTGAGGATTCCTACGAATCTACTAGATCGTTGCCTTGATCGTGATTACAAGGACAGAGTTCAGGATGAACAGCTCCCTGCCTATCGTCCTAACTCCAAAGCTGAGAACTAATCTCCCTGATTGTTCACTCAACACCACTAGCTATTCTCCCCGATTAGCAACCCAGTTTTCTATCAAAAGTCTGACTCTTTTCACTAAGCACTCTGTTCTTTTGATTTTCCCGAAAACCTTACCTTCTACATTTCTCAACCTCATGGTTATATAGTCTGCTCACTTCAAAGTAGTCGTTGTCTGATTGATGTTTGAATTGCTGTAATTTAGCTCCAGGTTTCCTTCTTTGAGACTTTCCATCTTGGTCTTGATTTGATTTGTTGATTCTTTCCTCATTGACGAGCTTCCCTTAACATGCTCCCCCTAAGCTTGTCAATGGCTCTTCCTACTGCACTGGTTTCTTTCCTGCACACACTCAACAAACTTTTGGTGCAGTCTGTTCTATGCAAAAGTGCTGGCCAATGTGACAAGGGAAGTTTTTATTCCTGATTAATTATTTCAACCGAACTACAAGCTTCGAAATTCAAATCAACAATCGATCAACAAGAACATCAATAAGAACACTGACTCAATAATGACTCCATTCAAACACAGACTTAAACAAATTACCAGACTTCCCTAGTCAACTTGTGACTCCCCCTAAGTACCACCATCGAATCTCTAGAAAGGATAACCAGGAGGTGACTCATAGTCTGAGATTTCATCATCAGAGCTTGAGTCAGGAGTGATTGGGTCAAAGTCGTCTGGAGCAGGCCTTGCTTCATCAAACTCCATGAGTTCCAACCGTTCTTTGCAGACCAGGAGACTAGTAGTCTTTCCACTACCAGTTTCCCTTCTTCGTTTGACCTCACCATCTATGGCTGAGACAGCAGCTTGAGTTAGAGCAGGAAGAAGGCTGTCAGGGATGGGATCAGCAGGAGAGAAAATGGGGCAGTGGGCAGTGTCTCCCCCTGAGCTAGAGACGAGCTTACGGCGGCCCACGTCGGCATCAAGGCGAACTAGAACATGATTGGGACGCAAGTCCTCATGAACGTTGCACACAGCCACCTTATCCCGGAGATCTATCCCTAAGCGATGCAAATAGCGAGTAATGAGAGGTCCAAAGGGTAGAGCACCACTGTAACCGCCACCCCCAAACTTGAGTATGTGAGCGAACATTAATGATGCATAGCTGATTGGTTGACGGGCACAAGCATTACTCAGAATCCAGAGATCATCAGAGTGGAGAAGACCAGCACTGTCAACGTCTCTGGGAAGAAAGCATCGAGTAATGAAGAAATGAAGGACCTTGAGGTCGTCAGGAAGACGACCAGCTGAGAGTCGAGTGGGGAAGGCTCTGCCAATGTCCCTGGTCACTCCGTCAAGAGCAGTACAGAAGTCGAACCCATGTTCAACAAAATCACTCTCGTAGCTGGCGTGAATCCCAGAGTGAGGTAGAGAAAGGACCGAGGCAAGTAAGGTAGGTGTGACAGTGATTTCATGGTCATAGACCATGGTGGTGAAGGATTGTGGCTCAGGTCCACGGTCACGACGAATATTCACGTAGAAGAGCCTCACTGCTTCAGGACAATGAAGAAACCGTTGATCCTCAGTCAACGAACTCCATCCTAACCCAGCCACTAGGGATGGGATGTCCATGTCATACTTGGAGAAGGCTGAAGGAGAGATGGTAAAGGATGGATAAATAGGGCGATCACGAAAGCAACGAAGGTACCTTGAGTACACGATGGCGTTGCGAAAGCCCTGATTTTTGAATACCACAACAGGGCGGAGCTGAGCATTGTTAAAGGACATGGTGTGTGTTTTGAGAGAGGTCTGTATGGTAAGGCTTTTGAGAGTGTGGATTGTCGGCTGAATCCTTCAGAATTTATAGAGTCTCTATGTGGATGGGTAGGGCAAGTGAATCACTCTTGATTGATGTATTCATTGGATATCCGACAGATGACTGCTGATTATCCGGGACAGAGAAGATAGTAGCTTGATTTGACACTCTTTAGAAGAAGTTAAGGAAGGTGAGAGGTCACAGAATCCTAACGAATTTCCAAGATTTCTTCTAGAGTAAACATGCCAAGTTCGCGTCTGATGGGTAAGAATTTATCAATGGACAGGGGTTTGGTGAATATATCAGCCCACTGAGAATCAGTACCTACAAACTCTAGGTGAATTTTTCCTTCCTGGACCAGGTCTCGGATAAAGTGGTAACGAACCTCTATATGTTTGGTTCTAGAGTGTTGGATCGGGTTTTTGGTCATGTTAATTGCGCTGGTGTTGTCACACAGGATAGGAAGAGATCCCAACTTAAGACCATAGTCTTCAAGCTGGTATTTCATCCACAAGACTTGAGTACAGCAAAAGCCAGCAGCAATATACTCTGCTTCAGCAGTAGATAGAGCCACTGAGCTTTGCTTTTTACTGAACCATGACACGAGAGAGGAGCCTAGAAAATGACAAGCACCTGAAGTGCTCTTCCTATCAACTACACATCCAGCATAATCAGAATCACTGTAACTGATCAAATCTAAACTGGATGTACTGGAGTACCAAAGACCTAGAGTGGGAGTCCCTACTAAATAACGAAAAATTCGTTTAATAGCAGAGAGATGACTCTCCTTTGGATTGCCCTGAAATCGTGCACACACACACACACACTATGCATAATGTCAGGGCGACTTGCAGTGAGATACAAGAGAGAACCAATCATTCCACGAAATTTCTTACAATCTATTGTTTTTCCAGATTCATCAGAAGACAGTTTAACAGAAGATCCCATGGGAGTTGAGGCAGCTTTTAGATTGTTGAGATCAAAACGTTTTAACATGTTCTGCAAGTATTTTGACTGACTGATGAAAATTCCCTGACTGGTTTGTTTTACTTGAAGTCCAAGAAAGTATGTTAATTCCCCCATAAGACTCATTTCAAAAGCATTCTTCATGTCATTTTCGAATTCAGAGCATAATTTTTGACTTGTAGAGCCAAAGATTATGTCGTCGACATATACTTGAACAAGCAGGGTGTGTTCTTTTTCAGTTTTAATGAACAAGGTCTTATCAACTTGTCCACGATGAAAGCCTTTTTCAATTAAGAAGTTACTTAGCTTCTCATACCAGGCTCTAGGAGCCTGCTTGAGTCCATACAACGCCTTATTCAGTTTAAACACATAATCAGGGTGTTCTGAGTCCTCAAACCCAGGAGGTTGAGAGACATACACCTCTTCTTTTATCTCACCATTTAAAAACGCGCTTTTGACGTCCATTTGATACAACTTAAAGCCTTTAGAGGCAGCAAAAGCACACAAAAGACGTATGGCTTCTAACCTGGCTACAGGTGCAAAAGTTTCTTCAAAGTCTACCCCTTCTTCCTGACAGTAGCCTTGAGCTACTAATCTAGCTTTGTTTCTAATTATGATTCCAAGTTCGTCAGTTTTATTTCGAAAAATCCATTTGGTTCCAATGATTATTCTGTCCTTAGGTCTAGGAACTAAGTCCCAAACATGAGTCCTAGCAAACTGATTCATTTCATCATGCATAGCTTCTGACCAGTACTCATCATTTATTGCATCCTCAATGCACTTAGGTTCAAATTGAGCTACAAAGGCAGTGTGTTCAGCATATGACTTAGAACGAGTGAGCATACCTCGACTAAAGCCTCCAATGACGAGAGATGGGGGATGCCGTCGAGCTATATGAGGTGGTGCCTGAGGGTTGCTGTCCTTTTCTTTCATTTTCTCACCTTCATTTGAAGGTACAGCTTCTGTTTCCTGAACCTCAGAAGTTTCCTGGCTTGTGTGAATTGTTCCCAACCCTAAATCATCATCCTCATCGACACTATCTGCACACTTAGTCAATGTTTCATCAAATATCACATGGACGGACTCCTCAACCTTGAGGGTCCGTTTATTAAACACTCGATAAGCCCTGCTGTTAGTAGCATAACCAAGGAAAATAGATTCATCTGACTTTGAGTCGAATTTTCCTAAGTGATCCTTGGTGTTTAAGGTGAAACACTTGCATCCAAAAGGATGAAAGTAACTTAAATTTGGTTTTCTATCTTTCAAGAGTTCATAAGGTGTCTTATTAAGCTTAGATCTGATAAGAGCTCTGTTGGTGACATAGCAAGCAGTATTGATTGCCTCTGCCCAGAATTGTTTTGCAGTTCCATAATCATTTAGCATTGTTCGTGCTATATCAATTAAGGTTATGTTCTTCCTTTCTACCACCCCGTTCTGTTGTGGAGTTCTGGGTGCAGAGAAGTTGTGAGTTATCCCCTTTTTATTACAGAACGCTTCAAATTTTTCAGACACAAACTCACCACCATGATCACTTCTTATGCTTCCTATCTTTAATTGTTTTTCATTTTCTACACGATTAACAAAGTTTTTGAAGTTTTGATAAGCCTCATCCTTTGAACCTAGGAACAGTACCCAAGTAAACCGTGAGTAATCATCTACAATTACAAAAGCATAGTGCTTTCCCCCAAGACTTTTAACATTACTGGGACCAAACAAATCTAGATGAAGAAGTTCTAATGGTCTAGAGGTAGAAATGACCTGTTTGGTTTTAAAAGAGGACCTAGAATGTTTTCCTTTAGCACATGCATCACAGAAGATTCCTTTTTGCTAAGGAGTTTTGGAATTCCTCTAACTATTCCCAAGTTGACCAATTTTGACAAAATTCCAATACTTATGTGTCCTAGTCTTCTGTGCCATTCAAATTGATCATTTTTATCAATCGAGACAAGGCATGTCTCATTGAAAGCTGCCTTGTCTTCAAGATTTATTGAAAACAGTTTTCCTTTTCGGTTACCAGTTAGTATGAGTTTTTTACTTATTATATTTTCTACAAAACATTTGTTTTGTTCAAAAACCACCCTGTTTTCATTTCCACAGAGCTGTCCAATAGATAAGAGATTGTGCTTCAAATCTTTTACTAGCAGCACATTGCTTATAGAAGGAACAGTACCTACTGTGCCTTTTCCTAGTATCTCAGTGCTAAAGTTATCCCCAAAGAAGACTTTTCCTTTGTTTTCAAGAGTTAGTTTTGAGAAGAGATTTTTATTACCAGTCATGTGGTGTGAGCACCCACTATCAAGTATCCAAACGCTGCCCTCCATGCCCACTTGGAGACAGGTCTGCAAGATAAGTACACTTACTTAGTTTTGGGAATCCAGACTAGCTTGGAAACTTTTCTGGAGTGGATTAAGTTAGTGTAATTATTATGTGAATGTTCTAAACATTTGCTCCCATGTTGCTTCATTCTGTTTTCTTTACAAATACGTTTTCTACAATTTGCTATGTAGTGACCAGTTTGGTGACAGTAGAAGCATTCATGGTTTTTATGAACTTCTGATTTTCTTGACCACACTACTTTTGTTTTAATCTTTCCTTTTATCTCAGATAGTTCTGCTTTAGCAGACTCAACTTGTTCTTTCAACCTACTGTTTTCATTTACTAGATTCTGAACCCTGAGTTCTGTTCTAGTCTTTTCATTTTTCATTTGCTCAAGTTCATTTTGTAGGTTCTCATGACTGGCTTTAATTAAGATGTACTTGTTTTTCACAGTTACAAACTCGTTCTGAATGTTTCTAATAGTTTCATCAAGCATTTCATCTTCATTACTAGAGTCTGAGTAGTAGTCATTTACCTGAGATTCTTCCTCGTCAGGCTGGTCAATGGCCATGTAAGCACTGAACTTTGGAGTGACGTCATCATCGTCTTCATCCTCCTCGCTGCAGCTCCAAGTTGCTGCAAAAGCTCGTTCCTTTTTGCCAAGTGGACATTCGGCTTTAAGATGCCCTGTCTTCCCACATTTGAAGCAGCCAGCTTGAGACTGAGATTTCTCATTGCTCGTTCCTTCCTTCCAATTTCTAAATCCCTGTCTTCCGCCTTTGTTGCTTTCTCTGTCAGCTTCACCATCCCTCGATCTGTTTGGAAATCCCCCTCGTTTCTTTTCTCTTCGAAATTTGAGAAGCTTCGCCACATGCTTGCTTAGCATAGCAAGTTCCTCATCTTCCATTTCATCCAAGCAGTCTAATTCATCTTCTTGAGTGGTGACTTTGAATGCTATCCCCTTCTTTTCTTTCTTGGTTTCCTCGAGTTCTTCTCTTCTCAACTTGTCTTCGTGAGTAATCAGGGAACCAATTAGTTCATCCAAGCTGAGTTTGGTGAGGTCCTTGGATTCCTCAATTGCAGTGACCTTTGGCGTCCATTTCTTTGGAAGTGCCCAAAGAACCTTGCGAACCAAATCGGCACTGACGTATTCTACCTCCAAATTTCTCAGGCTGTTTACAATCGTGGTGAATCAATCATTCATTTCCTTGATTGACTCTTCAGGCTTCATAATGAATGACTCGAACTCTTGCTTAAGACTGTTGATCCTCGAAATCTTGACATGAGACGTGCCCTCATGTGCGATCTGCAATTTGTCCCAAATTTCCTTTGAAGATTTGCAGCCAGTCACTCTGTGATACTCCTCTGGTCCCAGTGCGCAGTACATGAGGTTTGTAGCCTTCGAATTGAGCTGGAAGTTCCTTTTGTCCGTCTCAGTCCAGTTGCCGCGAGCTTCCTTCACTTCCAAAGGACCATCCAGAACGATGTTCCATAGGTCTGGATCAGTTGATCCGATAAACAGCTCCATTCGATT